TTTTTTTTCTGCAAAAACATGCTCCATTTGGATTGATTGTAAATAACATTCATAATAGTTCTGAGGAAATTGGGGTGGTCAGTGATGGTTTTTGTGAATAATTTCATGTGTTTCACAGGTGTCAACCGATGATAGTAGATTGTGATTCATTTTGTTTCTTTTACTTGTTCGTTTTACCGGAATAAATTATTTTGCTTTTAGCGAATTTCTCATAAGTATTCTTTAGTGAAACTTTCACTTTATATAAGTTTTTCATCAAAATTTTATTGAAATAGTGCATTTTGTTTGATGTAGAAAAGGTGTTTGGTAAGCTTTTGAAGTATGACGTTTCTTATGAAATGTGCTTCATTTTTTCGCTGATTGTGCGTCGCACTGTGTTTTAGCGCTCTGAAATAGTCACCAATCAAAATCGAACTCCTATGCTATTTAATCGACAGAAAGCAGAATATCATAAATCGGTAAAACGTAGGCTAAGTCGTAGGCAATATGCTTTGCATCGATTGCGATAAAATTTCTGACATTGATACTCTTTACCTTAAGCTCTGGCTGTTCCTGAGTTGCCTTAAAATGTGCTTTTGATGATTGTATTGTTGGTTCTATACATGGAGACATCGGTATGGCTGGCTTCGAGGCCGTTTGCTTGTCTGCTGACAATGTTGGTAAAGGAGGCGGCGGTGTAGTTGGTTGAGGATTTGGCTAAAAATTATGGATTCTAATAATTGTTTTTTATAGTTTTTTTTTTCTAGGTATTGATAAACGAATTCGAACTTGCCTTTATTATACCCAACGGATCATAGACAGACATAGGTCCACTAGGACATACGGCGGGACTCATCTGCAAGTGAGTGTTGATAGTAACACAAGTAGTTACAGCAATTTAGAAGAAAACTTGAACACTGCTCACAAATGAGCCTGTAGGTACTAAAACGGAGAATTCACGGTTATCCACTCTTTCCGCTGTTCCCATCTGCGTGGTCTCCAGTTTCTAAAAAAGTGGCTAAGTATCTTCAAACTCCAGGAATTTGGGCTACGATTTCTTCTGTTAAACTAGAGATAGCGACCAGTCTCCGGGCATCTTTTCATCATTCACTCACCAATGTCTTGGATTTAGCCTGATCAAGCTTTTGTTGTGTAGGTGGAAGTGATCCTAGTGGATGTTTTGGATTATACATAAATTTTAAATCTTGGACTGATCGTAACTGCAAGCACGCTGGATTATGAACTTTCACAAAGAATTTGATAAGAACACTATTTGGCTTGTCTTAATCGTCTAGTTTTGGACGATACTTTACACCTTGCAAATCTTTTTTACGAATGCCTTTTTAAAGTAGTCGATTACTTCATTAAAATAACATTCACTATTGCTGGCAGGCGTCGCGGCTGCAGACGCGTGTAAGTGTCGCATGCGCGAGTATACTGCGGCAATCATAATTGAGACCAATATTCGTGTCCGAATAAAATGTCCGAACATTTTGGGTAATTCGAATATTTTTTATTCGAAGATGAAGAAGCGCATTTATGTGATTTTTCGAATAGTTGAATATTCGCAAAAATACCTAGTCGTTCATTCGAATAGTTTGAAATCGTTTTCGGATATTCGAGTTTGAATGGTTTTTGAACTGGGATTCGAGTAATATTCGATCTTTCTAATGTCTGCGAATTCATCGAATATTTATTCGATTGGTCATCTCCAATATGGTCGAGACTGAGTATTTGAGTTTGATGAAATATCCAACAATTCAATTACGCCAGCACTCGAGTATCCGAAAAAACGCATTCCATTCGAATAGTCGAATATTCGGTCATGCCTGTTTATTCGATGATTCGAATAGTCGAATATCACTATCCCTTCAATTCGAATGTATTTTAAATGGCGATTCGAATAATATTCATTCGTTCAAGTATTTTTAGTACAAATGAATAT